GCTGCCACTACAAGGGGGGCTTGGCTCTTACGGGGAGTAAGTTTGCCAGGTGTCCGGTATTGGCCCGGTACACGGCTCCTATCTGGTAAAAAACCCAGAAAATACCAGCCATGTAAAAATGTCCCGTATTTTGTTTTTCTCAGACGGAAAGCCATTGGGCCTTTTTTTTTTTTGGCTCAATAACTTTGGTGTGTCCCCCTTTTTTGCTCAACCAATTTTTTTCCTGCCATGAAAACAATCAGTTCCATACATACAAGATGGGAAGCGACTGTCTAGGAAGGAGCATGGCGGAAAGGGATCTAGGGGTCATAGTGGACCACAAGTTGAATATGAGTCAACAGTGTGATGCTGTTGCAAAAAAAGCAAATATGATTTTAGGTTGTATCAACAGGTGTGTTGTAAGCAAAACTCGTGAAGTCATTCTGCCGCTCTATTCTGCACTAGTTAGGCCTCAGCTGGAGTACTGTGTCCAGTTCTGGGCGCCACATTTCAAGAAAGATGTGGAGAAATTGGAAAGGGTACAGAGAAGAGTGACAAGAATGATTAAAGGTCTAGAGAAGCCTATGAAGCCAGGCTTCATGAACTGGGCTTGTTTAGTTTGGAAAAAAGAAGATTAAGGGGGGACATGATAGTGGTTTTCAAATATCTAAAAGGGTGTCACAAGGAGGAAGGTGAAAATTTGTTCCTCTTGGTTTCTGAGGACAGGACATGGAGTAATGGGCTTAAAGTGCAGCAGGGGAGGTTTAGATTGGACATTAGGAAAAAATTCCTAACTGTCAGGGTGGTCAAATATTGGAATAAATTGCCAAGGGAGGTGGTGGAATCTCCCTCTCTGGAGATATTTAAGAACAGGTTAGATAGACATCTGTCAGGGATGGTGTAGACGGAGCTTGGTCCTGCCTTGAGGGCGGGGGGCTGGACTCGATGACCTCTTGAGGTCCCTTCCAGTCCTATTATTCTATGATTCTATGATCAGTATTTTTTGTGACAGTATCGGGCAACCCTAAAGGGAGGGCGTGGACGGCAGGGGTCTTGGGAAGCAGGGCTGAGGGCTTACCTCCCCCAGCCCTAAATTCACCCCGAGCTCTGCCCCTTCTGCCAAGGCCCCGCCCCTACGGGAGCCAAGCCCCTCCCCTGAAGTACAGGCCAAAGTCCGGGGAGGGCAGGCCCATGGGGGCAGTTTGGCTCCACCCCCAGTACATCTTCAGTAGCCATTCTGGGGACGGAGTGTGGGCGGGGCCGGGCTGGCCGTGTCTTCCTCCACCTATTAAACCAACTGCCCCTGGCCATCCCCTGTAACCCTGCTCCAGACCTTGCAATAGGCCCTGTGGTAAAAGGGCTGCAGACGTAAGACCCGTCTAGGCCTGTAGGCTGTCCCATACAGGTGAGCCCCAGAGGGCAGGTAAAGGGCAAATACAGCGTCTGGCTTCAACACCGGGAGCAAAGAAGATCCAGAAAACGACAGCTCTGGCAGTCCAACTTTGGTACTCGGGGAGATGCTAGAGCAAATAATGAAGCAGTACGTTTGCAAGCCCCCGCTGGCCAGTTGGAGCCGCCCGGGGGGGTGCGTAAAGAATAAACCCTGGCAAATTTCCTTCTTCGTACCTCGGGGTGGGTGCAAACCCAGTGGAAACATCACGCTCAGAAGCGTCACGGTGGTTCACTCTCAAAAAAGGGGGGGTGGATCTGTGGGGTCCTGTGGGGTCTGTCCAAGGGAGGTAGCGGGATCCCCATCCTGGGAGGTGTTGAAGAACAGGTGGGAGCGGCCAGGGCCGTTCTAGATTTCCGTGGTGCTGCCTCTGCATTTGGACTCGGTCGTGCTGACTTTGCGAGCTCCCTCTCAGCCCAGCATCGCTGGGATGCTATAAAAACCCAACCGCGTGAAACCCGCTGGCAAAGTTCCCATCGGCTTTCATGTCACCTGGATTCCACCCCTGGCATGGGCCAAAACGATCTCCCAGCTACTTACCCCAGATGTTCTGAGCAATCACAGCCGCCGTCAGAAGGACACACACAGCTCCTAACATCACCACAGCAATTTTATAACCCACGAGGCTGGGAGGAGACCCTGCAGGATTCCATCAGGTGGGGAAACCATGTCAGAGAAGGATCAAAGGAGGCCCAGAGGGATTGCCAGTGAAACCTGCCACGCAGAGTCTGTCACTAATCCTAGCTTAGTCCCCGCAGCTCCCACATCAGGGCTACGTCTAGACTGGCATGATTTTCCGCAAATGCTTTTCACGGAAAAGTTTTTCCGTGAAAAGCATTTGCGGAAAAGAGCATCTAGATTGGCGGGACGCTTTTCCGCAAAAGCACTTTTTGTGGAAAAGCATCCATGCCAATCTAGATGCAGTTTTGCGCAAGAAAGCCCCGATCGCCATTTTCGCCATTGGGGCTTTTTTGCGCAAAACAATATCGTGTTGTCTACACTGGCCCTCTTGTGCAAAAGCATTTGCACAAGAGGGCTTTTGCCTGAACGGGAGCAGCATAGTATTTGCGCAAGAACACTGACAATCTTAGAATCATAGAATCATAGGACTGGAAGGGACCTCGAGAGGTCATCGAGTCCAGCCCCCCGCCCTCAAGGCAGGACCAAGCTCCGTCTACACCATCCCTGACAGATGTCTATCGAACCTGTTCTTAAATATCTCCAGAGAGGGAGATTCCACCACCTCCCTTGGCAATTTATTCCAATATTTGACCACCCCGACAGTTAGGAATTTTTTCCTCATGTCCAATCTAAACCTCCCTTGCTGCACTTTAAGCCCATTACTCCTTGTCCTGTCCTCAGAAACCAAGAGGAACAAATTTTCTCCTTCCTCCTTGTGACACCCTTTTAGATCTTACATGAGATCGTCAGAGTTCTTGCAGAAATTCAAGCGGCCAGTGTAGACAGCTGACAAATTTTTCTGTAAAAGCAGCTGCTTTTGCAGAAAAACTTGCCAGTCTAGATGCAGCCCAGTTGTGCTGGGTGCTGCACAGACACAGCGAGAGACAGTCCCTGCCCAGACGATTACATATATAATTAAACAAGGGAAACAAAGGCACAGAGACTTGCTCAACTTGATTAGCAGGAATCCAACCCAAGACCCCCTGGCTTTACCCTACCCCGCTACAGAGATATTTCTATTTTATCTCTTTAAATATTGATTTATATTTAAGACAGTTCAACCAACAGTTCTTACCAACATTTTTTTCCAGTTAGCGTCAGCAGTACCAACGGATAATACAATTAAACAGCTCAGGCTGCGTCTAGACTGGCAAGTTTTTCCGCAAAAGCACTTGCTTTTGCGAAAAAACTTGCCAGCTGTCTACACTGGCCACTTGAAACAGGCTAACATATACTTGCACAGATTGTTCCTGCTTCGGCTCTATTTAAAGACTCTTGCTGATTTGACACTGTTAGCTCTGCAAACTCCTGTTTGGTGTTTCCTAGTTTCCTCTCATATATAATCATTAAAAAAGGGATTTGAATGGTCTGACATGACTACAACATTTTTGGAACAGTCCTACGCTCCTACCTGGAGAGACAAGGAGGGAATAAACACTGAGGGCTGTGTCTAGACTGGCATGATTTTCCGCAAATGCTTTTAACGGAAAAACTTTTCCGTTAAAAGCATTTGCGGAAAATCATGCCAGTCTAGACACAGCCCTCAGTGTTTATTCCCTCCTTGTCTCTCCAGGTAGGAGCGTAGGACTGTTCCAAAAATGTTGTAGTCATGTCAGACCATTCAAATCCCTTTTTTAATGATTATATATGAGAGGAAACTAGGAAACACCAAACAGGAGTTTGCAGAGCTAACAGTGTCAAATCAGCAAGAGTCTTTAAATAGAGCCGAAGCAGGAACAATCTGTGCAAGTATATGTTAGCCTGTGGATAACCATGATTTTAAGGGCACTGTTAAGAAAGATAAGGACATTTCTGAGAGGCTGAAATAGAGCCAAAGCAGGAACAATCTATGCAAGATAAGTTAGTCTGCAGGTAACCATGATTTTAAAGGAGCAATTAAGGAAGATAAATGCATTTCTGAGAAGCTAAATTTCTTTCTTGGCAACAGTTTTCATAGCAAAGGGTGTGAGGTAGAGTCCTATCTTAGTTCTGCTCTTTTCTGGTAACAACCTCACAACCTCAGCTGCCAGAATAGGAAATTGGCCGTTAAAAAATAACAAGTCACAAAATCACTCAGCCACAATTGAAAATGTTAGCCACAATCCCAAGAGAATTTTGTTCTGTTTCACACCAAATTCCTCCATCGAAATCTGCTGACCTGCCCAAACCACGACTGGAGGAAAGAAACAACAAATGGTCTGGTAGCACTTTATAAACTAACAAAACATGTCGATGGGATCATGAGCTTTCCCACTTCTTCAGATGACTGGAGTTTTGAGTTTAGGACATGCAGACCCAAAATAAATAGGAGAGCAGGGTGAGAAGGAGGAAAGAAAGGAGCGGGGTGGTAGACAGGGAGCTAGAGGGAATCAGTAAGTATTTGAAGATTGGTGATAGAAATGTAGCTGTGTTAGTATGGTGTAGCTGAAACAAAAAACAGGACTGTGTAGCACTTTAAAGACTAACAAGATGGTTTATTAGGTGATGAGCTTTCGTGGGCCAGACCCACTTCCTCAGATCAAATAGCAGAAAAAATTGTCACAACCATATATACCAAAGGATACAATTAGAAAAATGAACACATATGAAAAGGACAAATCAAATCTCAGAACAGAAGGGGAATGCGGGAGGAGGAGGTAAATGTCTGTGAGCTCCAGGATACTATCAACTGACTTTGATTCTTACCTGCTTCTTTTTAACTACCCAGTCTTCAGCTATGTACTGATTCTCTCTAGCTCCCTGTCTCCTACCCGACTCCTTTCTTTCCTCTCCCCTCCCGCTTCTCTCCTATTTATTTTGGGTCTGCATGTCCTAAACTCAAAACTCCAGTCATCTGAAGAAGTGGGCTGTGCCTACGAAAGCTCCAGTCCCATCGACATGTTTTGTTGGTCGATAAAGTGCTACCAGACCATGTGTTGTTTTTTTCTATACAGATGAACTCAGCTACCCCCTGAAACTGGAGGAAAGAAGTTTTGCAGAACAAAACATGTTTTTGGTCTTCGCATTTCTGATTCCGTTTTGTTTAAATGGCAAGCGTTTTGGGGTGGAGGTGTCAAAATATTTGCCCCCAGAATTCCACATGGGAAGCGCAGGGGTGTTTTTTTCCAAGGAAATCCTGGTTTTGCTGGCGCGAATACAGCCAGGTTCGACTCATGCCTTCCCTGAAACTGCCAGGGCAGAGGGGGTTACTGTGTGGAAGGTAGAGGTGGGTTTAAAGCACCATACCTTGTCTCCGGGGTGGCGGTGGCGGGGTCGGGTTTACTTTCATCACCTGGGGAGTCATGAACATGTAACCAAATTCGTCTTCCATCTTCTGATGGCTCTGCCGGGCTTAGGGTCTCACAGAGGACATGCCGAGGAGCCGGGGTAGATTCAGGCTGGCCTCCACTGCAGAGGAAGTACTGTACTTCAGAGGAAATACTGACTCCACCCCGAGCATCAAGTGCAAAACCACCTCCTGGTGAACCAGATGTGACCACAGAGCCAGGGACTGTGCAGGGTCCTGAGGGTTGTCACATATTCCCAAGCTGGGGGAACCCCTGACACCCGTTGGGAATAAGCTCCGGAGAGCTGTGCCTATTGACTCCAGTGGGCTGTGGCTGATAGACGACATTGACAGGGAGGGAGGGCGGATGGATTTGGCCTACTGACCCCAAGCGAGTGACAGACGAGTGACACTCGCAGGCGAGGTGGAACCACCGTTGCCTGTAGCGCTCTGGGTGACTTACACCAGGAGGGAATTGGGGGCAGTACACCAGTGGGGAGGATCTGCCGAGAGCCCGTTCCTGCTCCTGGCCGTTAGAGGCTACAGACACCCAGATCATAGACTCATGGACGATTAGGGTGGGAAGAGACCTCAGGAGTCATCAAGTCCAGCCCCCGGCCCAAAGCAGGATCAACCCAACTCAATCATGCCAGCCAGGACCTTGTTCAGCCAGGACATAAACACCTCTAGGGATGGAGAGTCTGATCCCTCCCTAGGGAACCCATCCCAGCGCTTCCCCACCCGCATAGGGAAATACTTTTTCCTAATCTCCAATCTAGACCTCCCCCGCTGCAACTTGATGTAAGGGGACTGTTCCCCCTTACTAAAACTCTGTGGGAGTTTTTGGTTTGCCAGCTCGCAGTACCTGAAGGGGAAGAGTTCATGAGACTGACTGACCCCAGAGACAATGGAAAGCAGCCAACACTCCAGCTCAGCCTGATTGACAGGTTGGACAGGCCAGTGAGGAAGGGGAGAGGCCAGGCCCCGTCCTCCCTGTGAGCTGGGATTGTTCTGGCTCTGTCTCTGAACAAACAAGCTGTGTGCAGAAGAGGTCCTGCAAAGACAGAGAGCTGAAAAGAGCAGTGCAAGCTGTATGAAGGAGTCCTGCAAAAGGAACAGAGAGCTGAGACACTGCTAAGAGGAGTGCAAGCTGTGCTGAGGGGCAGTTTTTGCAGCAGCAGAGCCAGGCATACACAGCTCAAGGAGTGCAGACCCTGTGTCGAGCAGCAGACTGGCAATGCTCAGAGAGCCAAAAGGAACAGAGAAGCAACACAAGGAGCTGGAACTGGCCAAGCAGCATAGCCTGCAGCTGGATATGGTGAGCAGCTGGGAACTGCAAAGTGTGGGGAGAGGCTCTGGACTGGGAGAGGGGTCTGGCCACTTAGAGCTTGAGGCTGTGTGGTCACTGCCAGAGCAAGTAAGTCCAGCCTGCAGCCCTCCCCTCCCCCCCGCAGCACATCCAAGACCTCTAAGGGGCCTCTAAGGAAGAGACTGTGGACTGTCCTTACACTCTGCAGGCTGCTGTTTTGATGTCCCTGTGCTACAGAGCAGAGCTGTGTGTTCTCATTTAACCATTCTCATTTTTTCTTATTCTTTTCTCTTTAATCCGTTGTTGTTTAATAAATTGTATTTGCTTTGAACCTTATGAAGTGATCACTGGGCCAAGAAGGCCTGCAGTGTAAAGAGAGCACCTCGGAGTGGGGACACCCTAACTCCTGCCCCTAGTGACTACAAGGTCAGGGATTAAGCCCCAGGAAACCTGGGCCCAGCCTTGTTGGGGTTCCAAGGGCTCTGCTACTCAGGAGAGTGGAGGGGGAGCCCTCAGGATCAGGGAGCCGTGGGGTAAAGGAAGTGGGAGCGGGGACTCAGATCCTTTCGCTGGTTCATTTCACCGGGGTGTATAGAAGCCAGGAAAGTTCCCCACAAGAGCGGGACCATTCCCCCGCTTACAACTTATGGGTTAACTAAATACTGAAGGGAAGCTAAGTTGTTTGGTAACAGCAGACGCTGTTTACTGTGAATGAAAATCAGCACCATGAACATTGTTCCTATCATGTATTGGATAAAATCTCCCCTCACTTTTCTCTTCTGCAGACTAAACAAACCCAAATCCCCCAGCCTCTCCTCATAGGTCACGTGTTCCAGCCTCCGAATCATTTTGGTCGCCCTCCGCTGGAGCCTCTTCAATGCGTCCACGTCCTTTCTGTAGTGGGGTGCTCAGAACTGGACACAATACTCCAGATGTGGCCTTCCCAGAGATGAATAAAGGGGAATAATCCCTTCTCTAGACCTGCTGGAAATACTCCTCCTAATGCACCTAATATGTCATTAGCCTTCTTGGCTACATACCCCCAAAATAGCACCCTGGTTGCATCCTCACCCTTCACCATATTCACCATTGTCAACACAACACATTTTGTGCAAAGTCTGCTTTGAGACGCATCGTGTAAGACCGGGGGGGCAGTAATTTTTGACTAGGGGGCCACTCCAAGATTTGGGGACGTGGTCGAGGGCCACGCTTTTCCGTGCTACGAATGGAGGAGATGCAGGGTTTAGGATGGAGGTTGGATGCAGAGGGGAGCTCGGGGGAAGAGAATGGGGGTGCAGGAGAGAGATGTGAGTTGGGGTGAGGCAGGTGGTTGTGACCTGAGGCAGGGGACAGGGGTGTAGGGGTTAGGGATGTGACCTAGGAGGGGATTGTGATCTGGGGCAGGAGATTGAGGTGCCAGGTCTGGGAGGGAGTGTGGGTATAAGAGGGGAACAGAGGCTTCGAGTATGTTGTGGGGGGCAGGAAAGGGCTGGGGGGCCAGAAGCAGGCTGTGGCCAAGAGACTTACCTGCCAGCTGCCAAACTAGCCTACATGTCTGCACAGCTTAAAATGTTTCCCAGCCAGCCGGCCTGCCTGTATAACTGAACCCAGGCAAAGGAGCAAGGTTCTTCTTAGCTGCCTGTTATCCCAACAAGCAGCTCCCATTGGCTGGTTTCTGCCATGGTTGGATTTCTCCCCCAAGAACTTATCTAGTTCTTTTTTGAACCCTGTTATTCTTTTGGCTAGGGTAACGTTGCCAGGTGTCCAGGATTGGCCCGGACAGTCAGGTATTTGCGGCTTCTGTCCAATAAAACACACAGAAAATACCGGACATGTAAAATGTGGACAGAAGGCTGCTTGGGACATTCTTCCCCTGCTGCGTCTGGTGGAGACAGGGGGCGGGGAGATTTAAAGGTGCCATGACCCTTTTTTGTGTGGTGGTTTTTGTTTTTTTTCTTTTTGTTTCTTTTTGTTTTGTTTTGGGGGTTTTTTTTTTTTGCTCAACCAATTTTTTCCCCTGCCATGTTTGATATTTTTTTGTGAAACCATCTGGCAATCCTAGCATAGGGTTCCACAAAAAATACTGAACCCCGAGAAAAAAATGCTGGGAAAACATTGTTGAGCAAAAAAACAACAACTGTAATGGCCCCTTTAATTCCCAAGCCTACTCCCCCCATCCTGAGCGACCTTCCTTCACCGGATCTCAGGAAAAACAGAAAATACTGGACATTTTAGGTGTCCGGTATTTTTTTTTACCAGAAGGTGCAAATACTGGGTGGTCTGGTTGACTACCAGACAACTGGCAATCCTACTTTTGGCCTCTGTAACATCCTCTGGCAAGGAGTTCCACAAGTTATCGGTGCATTGTGTAAAGAAATCCTTCCTTTGATTGGTTCTAAACCTGCTGCCTAGTGATGTCATTGGATGACCGCTGGCTCTTGTGTTATGTGATGGGGTAAATAACATTCTGCCACTTGCTTTCTCCGTCTCAGCTATGATGTGCTAGACCACTGTCATATCTGCCTCCCCTCCCCCCGGTTGTCTTTTTTTCCAAGCTGAACTATCCCAGGCTTTTTGTGTGTTGTTCACAAAGCAGTGGTTTCACACCCTCCATCAGGTTGATGGTATCTGTCTTACCACCCACGGATGCTAACCACACTGAAGGGCCTCCCACGGCAATTCAGACGAAGGCACCTTCCTGCGGTCAACACGAGAGGAGCCATTTTTCATCTCTCACCTCAAAGCCAGCGCCGATTGGCCAGCCTTCTCCTGCTGGTTAACTTGGGGCACAGCTCCAGCCTTCCTGTATAAACAACAGCCTATGGGGGAGGATAACTCTGCGGCTTCCTGCCTGGAGCGGGGGGCCCAGCTAGTTTGCTCCCTTTCTTGGTGAGGCCTCTGGGTTGCTCACCGTCAGTAAATTTACAGACAGGCCATAAAAAATTAGCCGGCAGGACCAAGAACCATCTAGAGATCATCCCTGACAGGTGTGTATCCAACGTGCTCTTGAATATCTCCAGTGATGGAGATTTCACAACCTCCCTAGGCAATTTATTCCAGTGTTTAACCACCCTGACAGTCCACACTGGCATGATTTTCCAGAAATGCTTTTAACGGCAAAGTTTTCCATTAAAAGCATTTTTGGAAAAAATCGCATCTAGATTGGCAGGATGCTTTTCTGCAAAAGCACTTTTTGCGGAAAAGCATCTGTGGCCAATGTAGACACGGTTTTCCGCAAAAAAGCCCCGATCGCCATTTTCGCGATCGAGGCTTTTTTGCGGAAAACAGTCCTGTGCTGTCTACACTGGCCCCTTTGCGCAAAAGTCTTTCGGAAAAAGACTTTTGCCCGAACGGGAGCGGCATAGTTTTTCCGGAAAAGCACCGATGATTTTACATGAGATCGTCAGTGCTTTTGCGGAAATTCAAGCGACCAGTGTAGACAGCTGGCAAGTTTTTCCAGAAAAGCA